AAAATGTTATGCAAAGTTGTTATTAAACAATCTTTTGGTGGTACAAAACTTGTAAATGGCTTTGAAAAAAGCAAACAGTTAGTAAACTAAAGCTTTTCGTCTGACACTCTTCAGAGTTTAAAACGTCAGAACATAGATCGAAAACTCTACGCTAAGAAATATATATACCCAGTTGTGGATCGAAATAGGCCAATCAGAAACACGAGCACATGACTGTAAAGGTTGACTGTAAAAGTTGTTATTAGTGGCTTTTTAAAGTATGATGTAGAAGAGTCATATGTTGAGATGAGAACAATGTTAAGAACACCCGAGCCACAATTTATTCAAAAAAGGATCATTCAGCCTGTTTTAAAATAGGATTATTCGAAAATAAGATCAAAGATCGCTTTATCGATGCCAAAACCAAAGTCCAGGCATCTCACCACCTCAGCGTGAACTGATTTCACTCCAGGTAAATAGTATTCAACCGATTACTGCAGTATCATTTAACTGCACCCGTCAAGATACTGTGATATCTTGCCGCAAGATTTTGCGTATTCAGTCAAACTTTTGTGTATGAAACGGGATTTAAACTATAAAAAGATGGCTTTTTATATTATTCGTTACTTATTCGTTTCAAAACAAATGCAGACTGAAAACTTACTCTATACAACGAAACACAAACAAACAGAACGGTATACAAAGACTTGCCCCTTTATTTGCAAAATTACAATGAAGAGCGTTTCAAATTTCAACGCATCATTTTTCAGTATCACTAAATTTTTGGTGAACCTCAATATTCTTTCATTTTTCTGACTTTCTAGATTACTCTTAAATTCTTTTAAATCGACACAAGGTGTAACTGAGTCGCAGTGGTGGCGCCAGGGGAGGGCTAAGGGGGCTACAGCCCCTCCGTCGGAAGCATCTAGCCCCCCATCGGAGGAAATTTTAGGTTTTGTCGGAGGAAATTTGACAAAATAACGCACGAAAACTGTCATTCAAGCCCCCCCCCCTGTCGGAAGCTCCAACCCCCTTTATCGGAAGATTTGTGGCACCACCTCTGCTGAGTCGCATTATGTGTGAGTCTGGTACCCAGGGTATATGTGTTTATGACTCCGAAGCTAGATACGTCTATTTCAAGACACATTTCAAGACGTTTTCCTTTCCAAAAAAATCAAATAAGCAAAACATTTATTCTTGATAAAGCTTGAGCCATGCATTATTCTTGAATAATTTTTAAATTTCAATGATTTTGCCTATGTTCTGAAAAAAGTGTGAATTTTGTCAGAGAGCACGTTCTCGTGAATTTGAAGATGGTGAATTAGAAATATCTAATGTTGTTTCGAGAAAGTAAATCGCGAGAAGAACATTTTCTGAACGAAGCATTTTCTGCTTACGCCATAAGACTAGAAAATCGCCGAAATTATGTAAAGCTTACGCAAAAACGTAAGGCTTGACAGGTTTCAGACGGCTTTGTGACCAAGCTGTTGCTATCCACAAACTCCGTACCCCTGCTAATAGGCCATAATAAAATGGATCTATGTACTAAAAACCCTGTATGTCTGGATTTAAAAGTTTATGTGCAAGTTGTATATTAATTTTCTTGCTATACATTACACTATTTTTCATTTAAGAGCAAGTAAATTTATGTTCAGGCTGACTGTTCTTAATTTTTTCGAAAATTTGAGGCTAGATTGTCTTAATTTGTTCTTAATCTAATAGGGTGTAGGCAGTGCGAGTACTAGCTTTTTCGCTCTAGGGTGGTGTACAGGCCTCAGGACAAATTTGAATATTCACCGAAAAAGCACCCACACATCGCAAAAAATCCTCAATTTTGAGAAAAAACGTTGCTCAAAATTTCATTTCACAGTATCTCAGCCTCAGTTTGTTCTTAATTTGTTCTTAACTTTTGACCAAATTTAAGGCTTATAAAAGTTCTTATAAAATTATTCTTATAAAAAGAGAGTGTATACTGACTCGAACTGGAACCGTAGAGCACGATGGATCCACGAACAAGTCATCGAAAAATCCCCAACGTATTGCAAATGTGTGCTTTACCTAGTCATTTGCAGCATTTAATGGTTATGCCTAAATTTTAGCTATACTTAGCCCCACTATTCAATATGATATCACATTTTAACCCCCCCTGGTCACAAAATAGTATTCTGTGCTCTGGTCCACGTCAACTTTCCCTGGTGATAAAACCAGTATACATTTGACAGTATTCTCTGATGTTTTAGATTCTTGAAATCCGTGGGTTCTCGCGCCAAAGCTGAGAACCCCTTGACCTGGCACAATGATCGGCTAGGTGTAATGGGCAGGGCCTAAAATAAGAAATTTTTACAGATCCACACTTTTTATAAAAATTGGGCGTGGTACTTTGCTGGGATTGGCATCATGGGAGTGGCAAATATAGAAACTGCCATCATAGTGCAAATAGCATGTCCTAATTGGGCAAATTATTTAAATGAATGAAGTATAAGTAGCAAAAGCTGATTCTTTACAATATATGGATTGGGTTAATAAGAAAATTAGCTAAATATAGCTATGTCCTAATATGTGAGCAAAAAGTTATCGAAAGGAAATTCTTCAACATGGTTTGTTCGGATCTCTGTCAAAGTTATTTTTTATTTCCTTTCACCTTCAAAAACTCCCTTAAATCAGCCTTACTTGCCAGACTTTGGTGTTTTTTGGTTTTTGGGAGCCATATCTTTGCAGCTTTTCTCGGAACTCGAAACTTGAAAGGTCAAGCATATTTCATTGCAATATTTATCTATTTGTTAAGTTTTTCTGGAGCTATGCTGCTTTCCCCACCTGCCTCTATCTTGTTGTAGGTGGGAATCAGCATCTCTACATCGATAGGGTTAGGGTTGCTGCGAAAATCCGAGCCATTGTCTCGTTTGGTAGAATTCCTCTGAGAACAAGTCTCAGATCTCAGAACAAGTCTCTTTTACTTATGGAAAGTTCGTAACTGCATTCAGCTCAACAAATTCTTTGTCATCAAATCTGTTCTTCAAAAAGTGTTGATACTATAAACAAGAACCTCGTTACAGATGGCAAATAAACTCTTCTCTCACCGATGTACAAATTGTGCTTGTCTCTTCTTATTCTCTTTTCGCCCAGCTTGAAAGCATGACCTTTACCCCCATCTTGTTTGTAATGCAGAAACCACGCGTGGCCAGAGTTGCAATTTGGCTTTTTTGACAACCCAGTGTACTCATTCTTCATAAGCAAAAAGGCAATTTAGATTCATGGTTTGATGGCCAAATTTCTCCATTTTGGCATTTTCTCAAAGCCCTTGGCCGCCACAAATTGATTTGGCCGAAGAAGCAAAATTTGGCTGAATCCTAGCCGCATATTTAAAAAAACAACGAAAATGGAAAGGAAACAAAATTTTTTGCACAGATAATATTCTATTCAAAAATCTTTAAAATAATTTCAAAATTGCCAATGATGAATGATGAAACAAAGCAAAAGATAACAAACAGTTTTAGATCAAAGCAAGTGAAAACTTTTGTAACCAACAAAGCAAATTTTGATTGCGATATCACTCCCAATAATTAGCAAAAATTAAGCTTTTTTGTATACTGCGTTTAGCTGCTGCATTTGGCTGCCAACCACAAAATATGTGGCTGCCAACCATTCAAAACAACTGGCAAAATCCTGAAGGTGGGAAGTCACAATTTACTCCCAAAATGAAACCACAGATGCTGGTGTAGAGTGTTTGCATTTGGTAACGATAGACAATGGATCAATAGAAACAATGTTTCTTTTAAATAATATCAGAATTATGCCAGAGTTATGCTAGATTCCAAATTATGCTAGATTTTATGCTAAATGACGATTTTTGGCCAATATCATGCCAATATTACGTTAGATCAGGTCACACTGGCACCAGCTCATAACGGAGTGGCTGGAACGAGACTCAGAGGCTTGCCCCTAATTCTTTTTACGGCCACGCCCTTTGCAACACCGGAAAACACTCCTTTCAGAAAATATTCGCTTCTATCTGTCCTTAACAACATAACGATTTGGAGAAGATTCAATTAACATAAAAATACAAAACCGAGTTAGATAAAATACAAATTTATCTTTGATCACACAAGATAAAGCACCATCAAAAAGAACAAAAACGTGTTTCCAGCAGAACTGCTACTAATGCGTTCGTTAGCGTGAACTTTCAAAACATTTTCTAACCTATTATTGCAAAAAAGTTGAGGAGGACTATAGTCCCTGTTATGCAACGTTCCCAATTGAGTGTTTCTCCCTGCTACCACCGAGAGGCTTATCATCGTTCAGCTGCTGTAGCCTTGAGAGGAATTTTTCCAATGCTTCTCCAATTTAAAACACCATAGTAGAATTGCTTTATAGCTTTTTCTGAAATCTACTGAAAGATATCACATAAACCCCAGAATACATTACGGGCAGGAAATCATAATATCGGTCTTTGTCTTCAGGCTCAGTGTCCTTTTTGAAGCAAATCATAAAAGCAAACTAAATTGAGATGATGTCTTGAAGTCAAAGCTGTATACAGAGTCCATCTTACTTCAAAATAGCACACAACAATATCATAAAGCGCAATTGATTCTTCTCCGCATGTACTGAAGCTTGGAGCTCTGAAGTTTCTTAATTCTTCTTTATTGTCCATTGCTTATTTCTTATCGCAATTTTCTTATAAAAAGTGAATGCAATACATAAGGCTGGGATTGGGCATTCAATTCGAATTGAAAAAATGTTCCCATTTCTTTCTTAGGCGCTGCGATTGGTATTTTATGTTGCACTTTTAAGAACATGCATTATTTACAGATCCACACTTTCTACAGTTACAGGTCCACAATTTTAATTTACAACTCCACAAAGTGTGTCAGATCCACGCTTATTTTAGGCCCTGGTAATGGGTTCCTCAAATTGCTGGTTATGAGAGAAGACAATGCTTTCCGAGTCTGTAGAATGCTGTACAGTACAATCAGGGGGAGTTTGTTAAATGGCGTGAACCATGAATTCGGACTGGGGCTGATCACAGCATGTGGGAGATTAGATCATCTAAGGTGGCACGCAAAACGGTCCGTTCTTTTGAGTAACATTCTGTCAATCGGGACAGAAACCTTGCAAGCAAACACTGCTAGACAAACTGGACCAAATTGTACATTTATGGCTTAACAGGTTACAAATACTGATTTAACGAAATTACAAGGCGATCAAGGAAAAATGTGTTGCTTTTTGCCGTGATACATGGCATTCGTGTCGTGTTCTCGCCTCGCGTAATCAAAAGGCTGCTGTTGTGACGAGATAAAATAGAGAAAAATAGAAAGTCCATTTGATCGAGGCGTGAAGATTTGAGAATGCAGTGCATTGGGGTATTTTGGAACCGAAAAGTTCAAGCTCGTGATTCTGCATGGGCTTGGGTAACATTGGCATCATCAACGTTGATATGTTTCAGCTCATTTGGCGTTCTCTACAATTTCGGCATCATCTATAATTACCTTTTAACAGAGTTCAAAGAAACTAAAGAGAAAACAGGTAACATAATACGATTTTTGCGTAAAGCCCCGTTAAAACGCTCTCAACATTTCACTGAACATCGCTCAACATTTATGGAGTTCAAATGTTGAGAGCGTTTTAACACCCGTTTCAGCGATGTTGGATGTAGTTTGAACAGATTCAAAAATGTTCAGCGGGTCGACTCAACATTTCTATCGTCAAAGTTGTTGTTGAGAGATGTTTAGAGCGTTATAACACCCCATACAACAATGTTCAGTCGGTGCAAGCGCACTAGACTTGGATTTTGCGCGCCAAATAAAGGCTTCAACACGTCAAGATCTCAGATCAGATCAAGAGGTTGAGAGAAGTTGAATTTTATAAATCGCAATGGCACACCATGACGAACGCTTGGAAACAGTTGGCAGTGAAAGCAAATCGGACGAGAAAGCAATTCAAAGCAAGTTGCAAGACCAATATCCTGACCTTTGGAAATCATCAGGCAGCTACTGTTAAGCAAAAGAGTATCCGAAGTTGATCTTCCAAACTTGTCTTGGATCTCTGAGAGTCCGAAGTTCACCGCTCAACGAATGTTGAGTCGAATTGTTGAGAGCGTTTTAACACCCCAATTCAACATCACTAATCATCACTAAACATCACTGTACAAATGTTGAGCGATGTTCAGTGAAATGTTGAGAGCGTTTTACGGAGCTTAGGTCGTTTTAACGTTTCGGCGATTTTCGAAATTCAGGCTGTACGCAAATTATCATATTGATATGGAACGCGCTAAAAACAAGTACTGGGCAATCAAATGGAAAAATTAAGAAATTCTAGTGCTGGAAGCAAACAATTAAGAAACAATTGAATTTTTAAAAAAAGACAAAAACTCGGAAAATCAGCCAAATTGATTGGCTTGCTGGCATAACAATTTAGACACAGCGAATGATAATAATAATATCAAATTTTAATATATATATATATATACAGTAGACTCCGGTTAAGTCGTACCAAAAGTTGCTTGAATACTTGTGGCTTTAAACGGAGCTAAATTGAGTAGTTTTGCATATTTGGATCAAAATTTTATATGATTGTAACCAGAAATGGGATGTTAAGCGGAGTGACTATAAACGGCGTTGCCCGTACTACCTCCATCTAAGCACAGCAGGAGAGTGGAAGCAAATCTCTAAAAAGAAATATCACGAGCATTTGAACACGATAAAAGCGTTGACAACTGTCTTTGTTTCACACTGCTGAAACCCTCCAAAACAGGTTTCCTAAAGTCCAGAAAAGTTGTCAACCTTCCTCAGGCCAAGAAAATCTTACTATAAAACCTTAGGGGTTTAAAATGGGCGTGGTTAGAGAACGTTACTCAACTTGTCACGATCCCCTGTCCTGGCAACTCTGTTGTCTCCTAGAAATTCCAAACTGTTCTAGAAATTTGTAGCTTGATTTAAATTATAGATATCTTTAGAGACAGATGTAAAATAAAATTCATGTATCGATTGATAACAAAAGCGTGCCACGATTCAATTATATACATTACAGAAAGTTAATGACCATAATTTATAGTGTAAAACATTTCTGTAACCATACTAATATTGAAAAAGCAGGAGGGTTTTGGAATTTATTTTGATTTTAATCATTTTTTATGCCTATATTCTGATAACCAAAGGCAGTAGAATTTTTTCAACTTCCACAATTTTCAAAATTTTGTCACCTTCCTCAATTCAATTTCTCTTCGTTTCTACAACCTTCTTCCGGCCAGTCGTTGAGCCGTGATGTTTTTCTAACTCTGAAGTTTCTATTGGAAAAGTCCCTAGCATGAAAATGCTTATTTAGGATACTGAAAGGTGCAATTAAGAAGCTTTTTAGTTTTAAGAAGCTCTTTATAAACAACGAGTATTGGAATTTCCTAGAGCATTAGGAAGCTGGAGTCGACTGAAGCTTTGTTCTTGTAACAAAATTACTGTATTCTGAAAATATATTGATTTTTGAAAGTGGAAGACATTTGACACTGTGATGGAAATGAGAAACTTTTAACTACTTTGCTTTGTTTAGGACTATTGTTTTTGTCATTTTTCGTTGCTCGAAGTAATGTGAGCTTGACAGTACAATCCGCAATGTTTACTCTATAGCGTCCTGTTGTGGCATGTGATTTAGTACTTTGAAATGTGCAGTCTTCTGGGAGGCAAAACATGGGCTGATCTTTTGTATTCTGTAGATAAGATTTGCTCGATATTTTTGGGCGTGCGACACCCCCCGTGTAGGCCCCCCCCCCATAAATTTTTGTGTCCTTCGGTTAATGTTGCTTCGATTCAGTAAAAAAACTTTTGGTAGTCGGTAGTAACGAGGTGGAGTATAAAACTTGCTTTATTTATCTTCTTATCTTCTTTATCTTAAAGTTAAAAACTAACTTCTAAAGGTGGGCGTTTTCATCTTTTCCAGGAACCAGAAGGGTGTGGCATAAAAGTCCAATCGTTAGCAAACCCCCCCCCCCCCCCCCACCTCCAATTTTTTGCCGCCTAAGTCTTTCCCTGAGTGATATGTTCATACTGAGTCAAATAGATAACAAATGATTAGAAATATGATTTTTTAATACTTGAACCACCATTTAACATACGCAAACTCTTAAGACAAAACATCACAATGACCAGTGTGGACTGTCCTGCACATTTGCTGTTTGCTAGTGATTTTCACGGAAATTCATATTTATTCAATATTTTAAAATCAACTTTGAAATTGAAAGGGTTACCCTTCTTAAAATTACCAAAAGGCATCATTATTAAAGGGATATGATAAGAGAAGGTGGTTATCGTAGGATCAATTTAGGAATAAAAAGATGGAACCTTGAAAATGCAAGTGGAAAGGTTGGATTTGGATGCATTTGAGTTCTGGGACCGCCTCCACTTCGAAAACAATTACGAGTAGGCCTCTTTCAGTTCATGACGCAAAGCAAATTTGCGGAACTTTACACTCATGAAAAAAATCTAAAAGCCCTCAATGCTGAAATCAAAAGCGCTGCTCGACAGGTATATATCTATGATGTAGTAGCCTGTGCCCCAGTCGCATCTATGCAGCATTTGTGGAAGCTATGATGTAAGAATCAGCGCGTTTAAGTTCCAGAAGCCCGGCGGGCTCAGTCAGTTGGTCAAACGTATTACATGGAGTTTCAAAAAACTCTGAGAAAGGGTTGTCTGAAAACTAGAATTCTGGGACATAGAATCTAGAAAATAGGATTGTTCTTTTAATCAGTCAGAGGAAACACAAAAGGGCAGGAATTATATTGAAGTACAACAAATTTAGCATCTAGCCTTGTATGTTGTTCTTATCCTAGATAAGAAATTTAAGTCTCTGTTTAAAGACCCTTTACTGCTTGCATGTACTCATGGCAGGGACACAGCTTTGTCATGTCTTCATAAAAACATTTAACACAATGTTGTGAAGTAAGCAATATGTTTCAGCTATAGTTTATAGCTGTCTGATTTTGTTAATACATATTAAGAAACATAAGGGACTGTTGTTAAAATAAAATTTAGTGAACTCTGCTTTTTAATTTGCCTAGACATAAGATCAAGAAAAGGAATGGTTCTAACATGAATTGGTATAAAAAATTCCTGCTCAAGCTTGAATATTCTCAGTGAAAAGAGTTTCACTATTTAGGCAAAGTCGCAGAATAGGGTACATTTTACTAAACCCAGAATCAGAGATAGGGGTCCAGTTTATACTTTCAGGAAGACACACGATATACATTGCACCAACTGACTGTGCCCACCGGGTACAAAAGAAGGCATTGTGGAGTTCAACTAGACTCGATCATTGTCCCCTTGGCATTGACATGTTTTAGCGGCTTAATGGTTGATCCATAGTAGAGGCTTGTATATTAGCGGCAGTTTATAGTACAAGAATAGCTTTTTCTTTCTCTTATAAGACTTATCTCTCCCCCCCCCTCCCCCTGTTCATGTTGATGGTAGAAGTGTTAATGTCCCTTATATAGAATCATTTTATTCTAGCATGGGTGAGCTCCATTCCAGTGTTTCTGCAATTCATACTTGCATGGCTAGCGGGCTGGATTATCAAGAGATATGGCTTACGAGCAAGCACCATAGCTGCGGCATTCCCACTTGGCGCCTCCTTGTTTGTGACATCATATGCGACAAACCTCGATGAAATGTTCATCACCTTTAGTGTCCCATTTGGATTGGCTTGCTGCGTTATGTTGATGGCTGGAAACGTTGCAGTATCGACATACTTTGACAAACGAATGTCAGTTGCCTTCGGTGAGACTATAAATTATATCATTTATGTTTTATATCCTTTGTGCTACGTACAGTGGCGTAACGGAGGTATCTGGGGCTTCAAGAAGAAAAACTGAGACGGGCAACCATTTACGGAGTGCAAGATCAAAAATTTCGTGCTAGTGAAAATGTATTTAGTGATTAAAAATTTGGCAAGATTTGCGGGGAATTCTCAGTATTTTGCCCCGTGTCTAGAAGGAATTCCAGTAGGGCTAAAACTCACAGAAATTCAAAGTACAGGCATCGCGGAGCAAATTGGCGGGGGGGGGAGTTGGGGGTCTAGCGAAAAATACGAAAAAAGGCAAAATATTAAGAAGTGAACTACCATTTAAGCCTCTTTTTATTCGGTTTTAGCCCTGCACCTTTTTAAACCCCTACCTTTTTCAACGCTCCGCGTTGCCTAAAGTACTGTAGACCCGACACGTTTTAAATCAATTGAAACATTTTTAATGCTTAGCTAAAGCGCTTTATGTGGCTCTTAGGGAATTTTCGAGAACATGTTTTGAATTCAGTATTACGCAGGTACCGCGGAGCCTTGAGAGAGGTGGGGGGCCTAAAAACAGGAGGGGGGGGCTAAAACCGTATAAAAAGAGGCTTTACTGGTAGTTTGTTACTTAATTTTTGGTATTTTTGCGAAAAGAAAGGGCTAAAGCCCCCCAGACCCACCTGCTACGTGGTGCCTGTTACGTCATAAATACTTAGGCACTAGAACATTCTACGATGCATTTCGCGGTTGTAACGAACTTCAAAACGAGGCGAGCTATATTGATTCTCACCTAACTAGGGTGTTCATGTGTGTGCTTCGTACAAAAGCATGGCCGGTTTCCCAACAAAGGAAAATCAGTTAAATGAATCTCAGAAATCTTTGGAAAAATTGTGGAGCGCAACAAGGCTCGGTCATAACCCCTTTTGTTTCTTTGTATACTAAAAGCGGCACTTTTCAGGACAATAACCAAGCATAACTGTTTCTATCTCTTGGGTTTTGCCTGATAATCTTACTTTATTTCTCCACCTATCCGTAGTGACGGATGAAGTGTTTAGAGAGAGATGGTGCCTTACATAAAAATCTTCACTCCTACAACAACTGTGCAACTGCGATATAACACTTCCAGTGATCTTTTACAGATAATAAAGAAGCAGTGAATTAAATTGATCGTTTGTTACTGTACAAATTTACGGGGGCGAAGATGCTGCTATGGAGGAGACTTTCTTTTTCGTTAGAGGACGTGCATGAATCATGAATCAAATCATGGTCTGTGTAATTTCACGGCCATCTTTAAGTAAATTGACGCTTGCACAATTTTAGGTACTTTTCTTCAAAACCTCAACCTTTTTGACCCCTTGAAACAAATCTTTTTAATTGCTTCAGTGATACTGAGTACTTGTTTGCCAACCCTTTACATCTGTGCAGTTTCTGTTTCGCGTGATAGAGCGGTTCAGTTTCTCGCGATAGAACGGCAAAATCAGGTGAGAACAAAATCTTAGAAAGATGCTATCGATGTCCATGTTTTGATGTTCTATAAGAGTTCTATTTAGAATAAATAATGTTCCTCTATAATTTCAACCCCTAACCCCGCTATACACTGATGTTCTCCCCATCTGATACCTCTCTCTAACGTTCGATCCTTCGAATTCCCTTTGATATAGGGGCGTCACTTCATACTTTTTGTTGGGTGGGGAGTATGGCTGCATTTTTGCCCTGCGAAAAAAATTTTGCCCTGAGAGAAGTTGGAAAGCCATAAAGGCAAATAAAAACTATAGAGGGTTTAAAGTTTTATTATTGTTAAATAATGATAATTTTCGTTGTTTTTTGTTCTAAGACGTCACATTTTTGCCTTGACCACTTTTGAAAATCTGCTTTAGACCACTGTCATGTTGTGGTTCTTCTAGGAAAACATCTCCTCTAACCCTGATCAAAGGCCTATAGTAAAGAAATATAAAAGGTCCAACTCAACTTTAAAAAAAATTTCGATATGCACACTAGCATCCCACTGAATTGGTAGTTGGTCACGCTAGATGTAAAGTCACTACACACAAACATCCTTCAAGCAGGGGCGGTCTGACCCGGGTGGCAAAGTAGCGATCGCCACCCGGGCCCTGTGTACAAAAAATTTACGGGCCTTTCCACGTTGGCGAAAATTTTTTAACTTAATGTCAAATACTTAATGCCCTAGACTGATTATATTGCGATTTAAGTCCAATACATGCGCTTCAAACCACCCAAACCCTGGTTTCCGTTATTTCAGCCATGTGTTCCCTGGGTCCCAGAGCCACAAAATTTCGAGCGCGTAAACAGAATGCCAAGCAGAGAAGCGAATGAGCGTACTCTTATCTTCTATTTCCGCTCTCTAATATATGTGGCTCAGATGCCCAGGGTATCTGACTGTCAGAGACAGTGCTGTGGGAACGAAATTCATATTGAGGGGGAGGGGGCAGGGGGTGGCTGCTCATTGTATTTATTTCCACTTAGTACACTGTTATACAGGATACAAGGCTTAGGCTGCAATTATTGGGAGGAGGGCTTCAGTAAATGAAAATAACGTAAAATTCAGAACAGGAAATTCAGAAGAGAGATGACAAGGGGTCGTCACTATCATCTGGTTACAGAGATCTGTATCAGGATTTAACAATGCTAAGAAGATTTGTTGACACAAAGATGAAGCAAAAGCGCAATAAGGGCCTTTTTTCGAAAGTTCAAGTTCATAGAATGTCAGAATTGCTGGCATTTGCAAATTGCTACCAGCAGATCCTGAAAACAGATGATCTCAAGGAACAAGCTCTTAGAGAAGAAACATATGGAGAGGAAAACTGTGACTTTCCAAGGTGGGGGTTCACAAAGAGAGAAAGGACCCCAAAGTCGACATCGACACCCTTTCTCAAAAGGGTAAAAGCTTGCCAACTGTGCATACCCTGCGCATTCAAAACTTTGTACCGACGCTCATTTTTATTTTTTTATATATTTATATATTTTATCATATATAACAATTTTATAAGAATATGAGCATCAAAACTGGTCAAAAGTTGAGATCAAATTAGGAACAAGCTAAGGCTGAGTTATTGTTTAATGCATTTTTGAACAAAATTGTATCCAAAAACAAGGATTTTTAGCCATGTGTGGTTGCTTTTCGATGCATATTCAATCTTGTCGTCAAATGAAGGCTGTCTTATTCACTTTGTTGGCAAATAATGCCTGAACACCTCCCAAGAACGAAAAAGCCAGCAATCGCACTGCTTACACCCTATTGATTTAAGAACAAATTAAGTACAATCCACGCTCGGATTTTTGCGAAAATTAAGAACAGTCAGCCTGAACCTAAATTTACTGGCTTTTATAAAAAAATTAGTGAATACAACATGCATCTAGCAGCATACCCTTCCCTCTACAACGCGTATAAGTGCTTGATGACACTTAGCTGCACCCAAGTTTCCTTTGAAAGATTATTCAGCGCTACTAATAATTTCAAAAGAAGAGAAAACTTTCCACTTGATTACGAGCAAGTCATTGGCCAATTTGTTGATTTATTTGCACTTCCTCGAAAAGAGTTGAAACTCTGAGAATTTAAGTAAGTTTTGATCTTGATTCTTAACTCTACGTGGGATTTTGAAGCCTGTTTACACGAGAGGAAAGGTATGGATCCAATTGGGTCCGCATTTACAAATTAAAGTCGAAATACTGCTGCTGTTTAGCGTATTGCTTTATTATCAATTTTCATTGAATCAATCGTATTCTAAGCCACATTTTTAGTGGGTGTGGCTCAATTTTCCCGCCACGCCCTAAACCGGGCCCTTGAGTTTTCTAGCCACCCTGCAATTTTAACGCCAAACTGCCCCTAGTTTCGAAGCTGCTTATATCTTAGCCAAAGTGCTGGATCTTTCTCAGCCCGTCACTTAATATGGTCTCTTTCGCACATCAAATTCTTGATGCTTGGAGAAATTCATGGTACATGTGCATGCTCCGTCTTAGACGTCCTTTCTTTCCACGGGGCATGCACATCCAAGACAGCGAGAAGGAGATCGTAGGAATGCCAGCCATCCTATTAGGGTCATCCGATCTACATGACATAGCCATCTCCCAGTCAATACTACGCAAGTCGTTAAGGAAAGAGTCACGGTCATAATTTTTCAAACTGCGTGACTCTGTCTTAAATTTCACGTCATTGACATGAACTCTAGCGTTTAATTTTCTAATACCGTAATACTATATTTTTAATATAGTGATCTGTAATACCGATTTTTACGACCGATACATTACAGAGGTTGTTGGGCCTGTTTGAAGAAAGGTTATCTATTAACTAAAACGTTTTGTTAGGCTCTTTATCTTTATTTTAGTTATGTTAAGTGAGCTTTTGCTAGATGCCCAGAGCACCATAGGACATCTGATAACTGATTACTGAATGTTTTATCTTCGACAAGATCAAATTACGAAATTTACAGCAATGCTGACATTTACAGGAAATGTTTTGTTTTTGGTTCTGGGAATTTCGCTCTGTTTTAAGTTTTGATAAAAGAGTCTTTCCGTTGGTTATACGAGAATTACAATACATGAACTCTATATCGAGCAGGAATCTGGGATAGTCGCAAAAAGACATTTTCAAAAATCCCAAAATTCAATACTGCACATTTTGGAAATCAACCCTACACTTTTTTAAATTAATATTGCACAAAGTGTGTAATACTGCACACTAAAATAGGCCCTGGAAAGAGCATTATCATTCAAGAAAGGAACATGCACAAACTACATAACAAAATATAGGCAATATTGGAAAAATCTATTTGCCCCTAAATTATCATCTAATTTGCATCATTTATTGATCATTATGACCGTAAAAATTTGTGTGAACCCTCTCCCTCCATCTTTGATTAGGTAATATGTGAACGTTCCCATACCCAACTGCCAACGCATCGATAATCTTATCCAGATACAACCATTCTGAATGGAAAGAACATAGGATTGTACTCAGTTTATGCTTCAAAAGTGAGAACCCTCTCAGCTATTCGATATCAGGCATTTGAAATAATTCGCATTAGCCATAAGTGAAGAAACTAATTTGCGCTGGTCATAAGTCTTGGTTAATCATAGATCTTGGGCGTTTTTGAAGATATCGGAAAACTGTTCAATAAATTGTACAATTATGAGGAATTAGCAAAAAACTGGTGGAAATTTGATACATCATTGATACAGTTTTTCTCAATTTAATGGTGAAGCTTACTAAGCTGTAAAATCTATGACGCCGAAACAATAACCACGGCGAACTTTTTATGCAAACGTTCTTTCAAGAGGTCAATTGATGGTTGTAATCAATTTTAGTTCTGTGCGAATATCAACAATTGCCTTTCGAAAGTTTTCAAGTTTTTTGAAAAATACAACTCGAAGCAAGGGCATACCGGGAAATTTCGCCGTGTCCTGGTAGGCCGAGAAGCGATGGGTGGAGAAAAACTGGATAATTTTTCCCAGGTAGTAAGGCCAAAATTTGGTGTATCCTACAAAGCAGTGAGAGATCGCTTCCAGAATATGTTCACCATCAAAAAGTCCAAAAATAGAAGAGAAGAAAGTGCAAGTGGAATTAACCCTGCGCACACAGAAAAACATGTTCTCCTTGCAAGATAAGGGAGCTTTTTGATGCAGCAATTGCTGATCAGCAAGCAGCATCCCAGCAAGTTAAAGAAAAACAAACAGCAGAAATGGAAAAAGCTGTAAAAATGAGAGGGAAATCAGTAGAAACAATTGGAGAAAGCAGGAAGAGAAAGGAAGGGGAGGTAAAAAATGAAAGTGCTCAGAATATGCTCAATGCATTCTAAACAACAGGATACACCATTCAATTTTTTCCTCTCTTGGGTACAGTTAAATTTTAGCTGTAAGTCAGCGCTGTAAGTAATTTTTCTCCGATCGCAGTAGGTGCCTAAAAAATTCACCATATCTTTGAAACGCGCTGAGATTTGTAGGAGTTGTTAGTTTCTATCGACTAAACATTGAAGCAACGAACGTCGTAAAAAAATCAGTTTTGTTGATTTTCTTGATTACTTAGATAAAATCATATGGAGAGGAAAACTCTAGCTCTTAGAGAAGAAACATATGGAGAGGAAAAATGTGATTTTCAAGGTGGGGATTCACAAAGAGAGAAAGGACCCCAAAGTCGACATCGACACCCTTTCTCAAAAGGGTAAAAGCTTGCCAACTGTGCATACCCTGCGCATTCAAAACTTTCTACCGACGCTCATTTTTATTTTTTATATATATTTATAATGGCTTTGAAAAAGCAAACATTTTACGACATACTAAAAGCTTTTTCGTCTGACACTCCTCAGAGCATAAAACGTCAGAATAAGGTTCCGAAAGAACAAGATTGAAAATATATACCCAGTCGTGGATCGAAATAGGCCAATCAGAAAAACGCAAGCACAAGACCGGTATAGTTGACCAATCAGTGCCGCGAGCCTAAAGAAAATTACCTATGGAGTCCAAGAGAGAAAACGAACTCCTTTTGTCTACACAATGGCGGCTTTTTCGTTTTTATGTAGATCGACTCCAAAACTGCTAGATGGAAGGACGACCGGGCTCTGCCAATTGTCCGAAACATGTCGTCATTATAGAGTTTTGCAGAATCTGGGTTGTCTAAAAGATGTTGACCGATGGCAGTTTTAGGATTTCGTGGTTGGGGCCCCCCATACCCCCTCAAGTGACGCCCCTGCGTTGATGCCCTATCTCTCTATTGCCACATTTTTTGCCATGACTCTTGCTTATAATATATATAAGATAATCTTTTCATGTCTGTAAAAATTGCTGTACAAGAATGAACTTCGCAAAAGCGGGCAATGACATTGTTATTTGACTTACCTTTTAGGCATTTTGACTGGTGGAGCAGGATTGGCGCAGGTTGCCTTGACATACCTAGTCATAATGTTGCTGGACAATTTTGGGCTGAACACAACACTTCGAATACTTGGGACAATACTGTTCTTTACATGTCTTATTTCTTCATTGGCATATTTTCCTACAAATTACGAAACAAGGACAGTGAGCGTAACTAAAGACAAAGGACTCGATACATATTATCGTGCACTGAAAAACAAGCATTTCTTGATCTTTCTGGTGGCTAATGTTATAGCTGGATTCTCGCTCAGTGTTTCGAGTGTGCATCAGGTAATGCATTCAAGCAATACAACATGCATTCTAATTCTAGAGAAGAGGGCTATCTGAAAATTACCTCAGGCACCCCGTGGCCGGTTGGCGCCGGGGGGGGGGAAGGGCGGGCGGATGGCCTTATCTTTTGAAGAAGTATTATATTGATGTTGTGGTATCAAAAATAATGATTCAAAAACTACCATAAAAATGCCAAATTGTCTAGATGTCACCATTGTGTAGACAAAAATGGTTGTTCACCTCAGGACTTCATTGGTAACGTTTCGTCAACAGTCATGTGCTCGCGTTTCTGACTGGCCTATTTCGATCCACAACTGGGTTAATATATTATCTAGCGCAGGGTTTTCGATCTATGTTTTGAAGTTTTGTTCTCTGAAGAGTGTCAGACAAAATCCTTTAGTAACATGTTTCAAAATGTTTGCTTTTTCAAAGCCATTTTTTAATTCTGTACCACGAAAAGATTGTTTCCAGAATGAAGATATTAAATTGGATGAAATTAAATATCGTTTAAATATAGTGTACGGTGATAACACTACTGAAATTAACAAAGTGAGGACGTAAAACTGCTGTTACTAGGACGTAAAATTTAAGAATACAGGAATGGAATCAGGGAATACATGTTTAAGTAAAGATCAACATGATTTACCTATTGCCAAGTAAAAAGTGTATGGTTTTGGTCTATAGTGTCTCAGGTTAATAGCGAATTGCCTCATAGATAAATAGCAGAGAATAAAGATTTGCTCAACATATTGTGATTGGGTACAAAGAGAAACTGGTGTCCTCCAAAGCTCTCTGCTTGGGCCCTTGCTGTTAAATATTTTCTTCGACAATCTTATCTACATCGTCGAGCATTCGGAGTTGTATAACTTTGCTGATGAAAATACCATTTATTCTTGTGATGAGGCTTTAAACCTGAAGAAGAAGCGATTTCTTGGTTCAAATGAAATTTGACCAACATTTGGCAAAATTTATGTCAAAAAGAAAAGACAATCAGTGCTTTCTCTAGAGTCTCGAATTACTAATGATAAACAATCCCTGATACTGTACAACTCATTCATAATTCCTCTGAATATGGACGGAAACTTAATATGGGAACTTTTACGGTCTGCCAACATGGATGTTTTGTGTAGGAGTTGATAACAATGAATCACACAAATAGGAGAGTGCTTTGAATTGTTCTAAACAATTTGTCATCTTCTTTTTGATGAGTTGTTAATGAGAGGAAATGAGTGTACTTTTCATTAAAAAAACTTGCTAAAGTTAATGCTTGGGAAAAACCAAATTAATTCTTAAAAATTCTCTCTCTGCTTTTTTGGATCATTTTCCTCATTGTCGTCACAAGATGTGTCATCACAACTTCTTGTGACACGACTTCTTGTGACGTCACAGCAAGCATGACACGACTTGTTTTCCTTTTGAAACGTGATATTTTTATCATCTAAATCATCATTCCACTAGGGCAATGCCCTACATTGAAGTAATTTTAGGTGATGCCTTTTTTCGACATTGCTTATAAAAACGACGCTGGGCGTTTATTTGAGGATGGATTTTTATTTAACAAATTCTGTTTTATATAGGGCGTTTATTTGAGAAGGGTGTTTATTACAGAGAGGGTGTTTAATAAATCAAATAGGGTATTCATGGCTGATAACAGTTTCGTTGTAACTGAACAAATTTAAGCTCGATTCTCAAATTGATATTATCAACAATCAATTTTCTAGGTACAGTTTGCGATGGAATTAGGTGTCCCGAACGAAGTATCAAAGCAGTTTCCAGTTTTTAGTACCATTGGCAACGCCTTTGGCCGTCTGTCATGTGGTTGTGTACTGGATATTTTCGTGCAGAATAAATTCAAATACTACCAACTGGCATTACTTGCTGCTGGCTTGGTTTCATGTGTCAGTTCATTTTTGACAAGTCAAACACAGTTAATAGCATACATATGGCTGTATTCGTTTCTAGACGGACAGGTTCAAGCTTCAGTCCCCATTGCACTCCGTTATATAGTCGGCCTAGATGTGTTTCCAGAGGCATATTCTTTGGTAATCAGCGCCATTGCAGCTCCTGCTTTACTCGGACCCCCACTCTTAGGTAAGTGCATATTTCTTATTTCTTCATGGGATTGACGTATAATACTTTTTAGCCCGACACCCAACCACTGAAACAGCTCGGGTATCGGGCTGAAAGGTGATCATATATTTAGCCTCAAAGCATCATGTCCCGTCTTATTTAGCTGGCCATTTAAGTTTCCCATTGGCTGGACAACACGGTAGATCTATTGTTACATATCAAATCGGCTAATTCCCAATGAAAACTCTCAATATTAAAAGCATTGCACCACCCAAACAGACATAAAACACTTTGATAGATTTTCGTGTGCTGGATTCAGTTCAAAAGTATATGCCTCATCCAAGTATTATCAGAATCAAGGAGGCTGTGGACATTTGACAAAAGAACTAGTATCAAATATTAGATTAAAAGAGAAGTAAGAAGATAAAGTAACTAGCTAACTAACTAACTAACTAATTAACTAACTAACTAACTAACTAACTAACTAGCTAACTAACTAAACTAACTAACTAACTAACTAGCTAACTAACTTACTAACTAACTAACTAACTAGCTAACTAACTAACTAACTGGCTAACTAACTGACTAACTAATTAATTAACTAACTAACTAACTAACTAAACTAACTAACTAACTAACTAACTAACTAACTAACTAACTAGCTAACTAACTAACTAACTAACTAACTAACTAACTAACTAACTAACCAACTAACTAACTAACTAGCTAACTAACTAACTAACCAACTAACTAACTAACTAGCTAACTAACTAACTCATTAAACTAACTGAGTAACTAACTAACTAACTAACTAACTAACTAACCAACTAACTAACTAACTAGCTAACTAACTAACTAACTCATTAAACTAACTGAGTAACTAACTAACTAACTAACTAACTAACTAACTAACTAACTAACTAACTAACTAACTAACTAACTAACTAACTAACTAACTAACTAACTAACTAACTAACTAACTAAACTAACTAACTAACTAACTAACTAACTAACTAACTAACTAACTAACTAACTAACTAACTGACTAACTGAGTAACTAACTGACTAACTAACTAGCTAACTAACTAACTAACTAACTAGCTAACTAACTAACTAACTAACTAACTAGCTAACTAACTAACTAACTGACTAACTAACTGACTAACTAACTAACTAATTAATTAACTAACTAACTAACTAACTGACTAACTGAGTAACTAACTGACTAACAAAATAACAATTAGCTATTCAGCTAACTAACTCGCCTATTAAACTACCTGGTAAATAAATAACAGAAAAACCAACGTGCTAGCTAACTTACTTAAAAATCTAACTCTCTTACTTCCCAGCAAACTGGCTAGCTTTCTAATTAATTAAGCTACTTACTAACAATTTTATCCCCGATTTCCAATTTTGTGCTGTTCAACGTCATGTACAAGGGAAAATGAAAGCCCTAAAAAATTCAAGCTTTTTGTGCTTAGCATTAGTGTTGGAAACGGCTAGCACTAAGATGTTAAAGTAACGAAGGTGTTTCAATCAGGCCCGTGTAACCAGTGGGGGTTAAGGGGGCCATGCCCCCAATAATTTGCGAAGATTGTGTTTGAAGATCTTGTAAACGCAGCTTGATCTGACAGTATTTCGTAAGGCAGGTAAAGAAAGAGCTATATTTCTACCCATACCCCTCCCCCAATCCAGTTTAGCTGTCTACGGGCCTGGTTTCAATGAAGAGTGTCATTTGGCATTTAAGCTTACGTAGCCTTTATGCAGATAGTCTAGTATGATGTATTGAGAAAAATTCGCTTTTTTATTTTCATAGGCTTTATAGTTGATAAAACTAAAGACTACAGGGCATTCTTTTTTGTTGCTGGAACTCCTCTGCTGCTGGCCTGCTTGTCCCTTATGGCAATAAGGTGTTTCAAGAAAGCTGACAGTGACGTAAACGAAGAGACTGAAAAGTGGATAAATTCTGAAAAAGAAGTGGATGTGACAAATTTTGAAAATGACAAAGAGTTAAAAAGTCAGTTACTGTTAGAAACTCCTGTCTAAAATACAAAATATGCCATTTTTCGTCTCTTTGCCTCAAGACCTATGCCTGTATGAAGAATTCTGTTATGCTGATGTCTACAGTGGTGGCATTAGGACGTATAAGAGGAAGGGCGTGGGGAAGCGGAATAAAATGTTTAGGCCTGGCTCTTTTTTACTAAAAAACGCTCAATTACCTACAGGAACATATAACAGGAAGTATCATTTTTAGCAGCAGGAACACACGTGCAAAGGTCAGTTTCGAAATCACAGTGTCATACCACAAAGAAATCTTTGCAAAAATATAACCCTCTTCATAAACATGCTGCCATTGGGTGTCTGTGAGTATTCTAAAGAATCAATTGAAAAATATGGTCATTAAACTGTCACGTGACCATGTTTTAGGACAATTTCCGGAAAGCATCAATTTCGTCATAATGCTTATATATGTTTGATTAAAATGAAAAATGCTGAGTAATTGCCTTTAATTACCCTTTAAGTAAAAAGAGTTATGTTTTTAAGAAAAATCTCTTTTTTGAAGAGTTGATGCTTTTGACACTTATTTCTTGAAAGTAATGTTATAAATGCTCTGTATATTGCATTTTAAAATTTAAAAGAGCTTAATTCTAAAAGTTTGATCACCTAGTACTTCTGTTATTATAATGTCACATAAATCGACTTGTACTGACATCCCCAGTAGGACCAGTCCCTTTATAGAGAAAACACTGATAGATAAATAAAACACGCCTTTAAGAAGACGTAAATATCTAAATTTAGTGAATTTTTTTGCAAGCTGTAACACCAACTAAAATCAAATTAAAATAACATTGCTGTGGTCGTGTTCACAAATTTGAATAAATCAAAACAGATACAATTATTATATCTATGCAATTAAATACAGAAAGGCAATAAAGTATGTTAATTCACCCAAAAGGATTTCGTTTCTGACATCGTTAATCCCCATTCATAAATGTAAGTTGGCAATTCTGAAGACATGGATACTTGTCAAGAATTAAATGCACAAAATTCTGGATAACCTTTTTACCTTAGACTTACCTGAAAGCAACTAGACGAGACTTAACTAGACGAGCAAAACTCATTTCAATTCGCATGACTTGGAGGCTTTTTTATAATTCATTGGAATACCGTATTATAGGGGTATGTGTTGTCACCACACAAAAAAACATCTAGCTTATTTGCCAATTGAGATTTTAAACAATCCAACTTCAATGGTGCTTCTATGCAGCCTATAAATGTTTATGAATAATGTGCTTGCAATGACACCTTAGGAAAAAATTTCTTTCACATATATATCAAGAAATATAAGTATCCAAATATCGAACAAATGTAGGAAAACCGCAGAGCAAGAACAACATTACAATCAAAGAACATTCAATTTTGCTAATCAAAGAACGTTTTTTTTCGTCATCTCAAAAACGTTCTTACGCCATTATTGAATCTGTAACAGAAATGTCACTTGGTAATTTGTTCTTTTCTGACTCCTTGCAATGTTCCGACTTTTGTGTTAATATAATTTTCAATGAAACAATTTTCTACAGATGCCATCATAAGAATTTTGAAAGACAGTTTGATTAAAGCCTCGCTCATGGCACATGACTTTATTGGGCTACAATGGAAATCTTCACCTCGCAGATACCAGTTAAGACCAACTTTCTGTCATTTTTATGGAGGTGCCCGATTTCTAGAGTTTAATGATAAAAGGCTCTGGAGGAACCTAACATTTGTCCGTTTTTCAATTCTATTGGGAAAGTCTCTACTTCAGGACGTTTTTCCACTTATAGAATGTCTGTTGTCCTGTCTTGTATCGAAATACATGTCTATAGTGACTGTCGTCTATTTACAATAGGTGTTCAACTTCATGGCCCCGATCAAACTTTCCACCGTGACTTACAGATTCTATGAATTTATTTTATTTTAAAGTGGGAACTTAAAACGCTCCTTTAGTATGCTCTTACTCAGGGACGACGCCACCGTGTGGTGCTTGGGGGGCAGGAGCCCCCCAAAAATTGATTGAGCCATTTAAATTCATTGTTTGATTTTTTTCAATTTATTTTTCATTTTTTGAGCTAGAATTACCACAGCGGAAATGATGATATGTTATATATCTTTGTGGGTGGTTCACTCACTGTCGGCACTCTGACATTACAGCCCCCCCCCCCAGCTTTTTCTTCTGGCGCCATCCCTGCTCTCACTGAAAGTGCAAGAAGTAAGACTTTAAATTAAGCAAAGCCAGCAACTCTTTTCCACCCTACATCTGTGTGCTTATGCAGACCACTGTTTGTTGCCATCCAAATTTGTTGGCCAGATGCAGAAATAGTCCAAAAAGAACCTGCATGTGAGGGTAAAAGATCAACAGAATTCGCTGTCTTGGATCTTCTCAACTGTGGCTGATCTTTCACGGCTGCCCATTCAGAATCTTCGATTTGATTGAACACAGTATATGGGTAATTGGATATAATGTATGACTTTCCCAGCCTCTCCACTCCATAAAGAATCCGTTTTTCAACATCAACGGCCATCACTGCTGATATGTTTGGGATGCTTTTCCAAGAAGAGGTACTTTTGTCGTGTGAAAAGCAAAAGGCAAAGTTCCTTGTCATGTACGTCTTTTTTTGATAGCAGAAGACTAAATGCTGGTTCATTTCATCATAAACTATGCTGAATTCAGGAGACGGCAATCGAGCCGACTGCCATCTGATATCCTTGGTTTTGTCGATCTCGCATTTATATGGCATCAGCTTATTCAAAGTTGAGTTGACAGCTCCATTGAACGTTTTCAAATTGTTCTCATATGTAAAATCGAATATGATATTCCCAGCACAATTTTCCCCTCTTTTTATAGAATTTGGATTGTTGACTTGGAAAACAATTGAAAAATGCTGCGTATTTGATAAACCAAGTGTATCAGTTTGAATCATAACCGAGCCAGGCTTGGTCTCGTTTACAGAAGGAGGTAGGTCGAAGCGTTCCGTGTTTAAAAAGTCGAATGAATTCAACTGAAGAAACTGAGCATTGTAGTACATCATAATAATGACTCTATATGCCTTTGAGTGACTGCCTCCCGCCAAATGTGAAACTGAGAAATTCATGTTCATATAGCTTTTATCTACAAACGTGTTGGTGTCCTCATAGGTCACATTGAGCTGGAGACTGCTTTGGTCCGGTTCTTGTCTTTGAACGTGAATATCTGTAACATAAAGAACCGTACTTTCATTGCTTTCTAAGCTCACAACAAACTGACGAGATCCTGTGGGGAGTTTCGCGTCCAAAACCTGTCAAAAGAAAAAACAATTCGCATTTAATGAAATAAGAATAGACCGAAGGATTAAAAGGTTTTCAGTGTTTACTGTACGGGGTTTTACGTCAGCAATCACGCAATAGTCTTCATAAGAACAATCTGTGCAAGAACACTTATCACAGATATACGATTTTATCAAATAAAAGGACATCGTAAGAAAATGCGCAAGCTCGACATTAGATGAAGAGAGGCGAGGTCTTTTTGCGATTTTACTTTCATGTGCACAAAACAGAGAAGATAATATCAGCTAGTCATTCATGACACAAAATAATATTATGAAAAATGTTATTTAGTTGAATTTCAACGTTTTAATAAAAACAGCATTTTGGTACTACCAGAAAACGCCTTTGGTACTACCTAAAAACGCCCTTTAACCAACTGAATACGCTAATTTTATAAATGGAGTACGCACGTGATTAACGTTTGGTTACATAAAGGAAATTGAAAATCATAGAACCACGTCACAAAAAATACTTTGCCAAAATATCACCGTTTCGTTTTGTTTATTTGTTTTGAGTGAGTGGGGACATGCCCTCCTCCCCGTAGCGCCGCTACTCAATGGCGGCGCCTGTCACTAAGCTCTGGGGGACAAAACAAAAATAATAAGGCCACCCCCTTTTATCATCTGAACTGAAACGAATTATTGTATGATCATGTTGCCTTTGGTATGATAAGAATATTCGCTAAGTTTCGTGTTAAAAAAGAAAAGATCCATCAAGTTACAAAGCATTTTGTTTGCTATCTTTTCGTCTTATTTGTGCGCCATTTTCTGCGCGGTCGCAATTTGGGTGTGACGTCACATTGTTTGCAAACAACCCGTATCCATGATCGGAACAACATGGCAGAAGCACAATCCTCAACTTCATTAAAACAAGTTACTCGACACGGTGGCCGCTACTGTGTAGCCGGGGCTCCGGGTGGTTTAAGCTGCCCCGTGCACTTTGGAGGTTTTCTCGTCTACATTGGGTACATTTGCACCATGATTCAGCTGGCGTGCTTCGATCAAATCTGACCTCCAAGATAGCGGATGACAAACCATCATCGCCAATTTCCATATTTTGCTCTTCGGTTAGGCCAAGATCGGCAGCTGTGTTGGGTGCAAGAGGTTCGTTTTGACAGGGCTCATAATGTGTAAAAACTTCACCGTTATTACTGTCCAGTTCTTCCTCAGACTCACTTTGAAGCGCTGAGTACGAGCTATCTTGATCGGAAGAGGAAGACATTATTCTGATACGCGAAGCCGGTAGCTTGATGAATGTGTTGTTGTTGTGCTCTCGAGTTGTCGAACTTTTGCAAACAATCTGATGTCACGCGCGCTAAATTTGGTCCAGACCCCGGGGCAGCATTTTCGGTGGGGAATTCAAATTTTGATTATAAAAACTAATCAATCTGGATCTATATTGCAACAAATGAATATCAATTTCGTTTTCAGCGCATTTTTTTGAACAAATATAGTAGTTAAACAATTTTGATTCATGGGCTCTTTAAAGGAAAGCCCAATGACTAACTTTTGATTACGTAAAGGTAGATTGAAAATCATAGGATTATATCACAAAAATTACGCTGTCAAAATATTACCCCTCCCCGGGATTATTTGGCCCGTTTGGCAAAGTGACGATCGCGGCTGGGCCAGGTGGCAAAATTTATTTCTAATTCATGTTATGTTAATATGAAACAACAAATGTCAGAGACAGTATTTAAAGGGGGGTGTTGGCAGCTGCCCATTGTATTTATTCTTTTTCAAAAATCTTTACACACAAATTCCCTATCAGCTATAAAACAAATAAAATAAACTTCTTCCATAACAATTACTTCTTTAATATATATAAAATAAAGATGTTGCTGTTCTACCTAGGGATCGTGTTTTGTTTGGGGAATTTATTAACTTTGCAGGAATCCTTTCAAGTTTCTTTTAAACATGGAAATTGTGTGGTTATTCCCACTTAGTACACTGTTATACAGGATATAAAGCCTAGGTTGCAATTATTGAGGGAGGGGGGGGGGAGGCTCTAATGTTTGAAAATAATGTAAAATTCAAAACAGGAAGTAAGAAAAGAAAATAATAAGGAGCCATCGCTACCATCTGGTTACAGCCTCAAGCTCAGATTACGCGATTCTCTTTCTTCAAAAGGGGCGCACAACGTCCAAAAAGGGGCGCCAGACTTCAATTCGTTGAGGGAGGGGCAACTGCCTCTACTTTCCCCCTTTAAATCCGCCACTGCTACCAGCATCATAATGTTCAAGTAAAAACAACAATTTGTGCAAATGGAGATCCAGAAAAAAGTAGATGATTTCAAAGAGCAAGTTCTTAGAGAAGAATTATATGGAGAAGAAAACTGTGACTTTTATGAAGGTGGGGATTTGCAAAGAGAGAAAAGACCCCAAAGTCGACATCGACACCCTGTATTAAAAGGGTCGAAACTTGCCAACTGTGCATCAGAAGTTGACAACAAATTAAGAACAAGCTAAGGGAGAGCTATTGTAAAAGGCAATTTTGAACAACATTTTATCCCAAAAACGATTATTTTTAGCCATGTTTGAGTGCTTTTCAGTGAATATTCAATCTTGTCGTCAAATGAAGGTTCACTTTGTTGGCAAATGATGCCTGAACACCTCCCTAGAGCGGAAAAGCTAGCAATCGCAATGCTTATACCCTAATGATTTAAGAACAAATTAAAAACAATCAATCAAAATTAAAAGAATGATTGAAATCGTAGGATTTAGTTCTGTTGATTATCAATAATTTTTCAGTTTAGAATAGTTGATGTCTGTTTTTTTTTATCAATTTAGTTGAAAAATCTTTTCATAGCGGCTGGATCAATGTAATTTCAACAAGACACACAAAGACGTAGAGTAGCTAATTAAAATGGAGCCTTGCGGAGCCCCTTGTTTCTTCCCACCCATTCTTTTTGATTAAATTTTTATTTGAAAAAACCGTATTTATTAGAATCATTAAGGACCTTACCTTTCCAGCAAAGTCAGCTTCAAATTTATAACAATCCTCCTCTTCGACATCAATGTTGGTAAAGGCTGATGTGTCCATCTTTAGATCGTCTGTTACCATGGAAAATTTCCCGATCTCTTTCAACCGTGTTCCATCGCCCAACGTAATTGATGCATTCACTTTTGTGAAATGGATCTGCTGGGTATTCTTTGCTAGAGTACTGTTATCATCCGCAGTTGATATACCAACCTTTAAGTTGTTCTTTATCGTAGCAAATGCTGATATTGATCCCTTGTAGTGCTTATTTATATACTGATTGGGACCCTGAGACCAGTTAACGCTTGGAGAACTCGCAGGAATGGAACATCCAAACAACTCAATCCTTAAGCAATTAATGTTGTCCACTAATGATTTTCTTGCTGTTGGAACTACTCTTATAAATCTTGATTTTGTATTGCGGATCCAGTTAACCCTAGTTTCACCAAGCTGCACACCTGTAGCCCCAATACCATCGAACTCTTTTATAGAACTTGGATCATCTTGGTAATTTTGCCAATTAACACCGTCCTCACTAAATTCAACTTTAAATTTTGTAGCAACATTGTCTGGATTAGTGCTATGCCCCTGTATAGCAACGCCACTTACAAGCTTCACTCTTCCAAGGTCCACCTGCAAATACTCAGACACTGCTGTGTTTGCAAATGAGCACCAACCAGCAGCACTAATGTTTTGCAATCTCCCAAATAAAGGCCTGTGATTCGCGTCATTGCCCCAATAAGATTTCGCATAAAAGCTAGAATCTGGGATTTTCCAGGTTCGCAACCCTAGCTCATCGGAACAATCACCATATCCACTCCGATCAGTGAAAGGGTTGATCGTAACTTCAAGGGTTGAGGCCCCTGTGCCTCCAATTTTGTTCACTGATTTCTCCCAATGTTTTCTCTCCGGCCCTGTATAGCCAACATAGGCAAGTGACATTCGTTCTGCCGGGGCAGGCGAGGTTGCAAAAGTAGCAGACACACCAACTTTCTGTAATGCCTCTGCAAGATTGCTGTCAATAACAACTGCATCGCATGCTGCCATAAAGAGAATCTTTCCTGGAGGTAAGCTATTCAAGACGGCAGTGAGGTCTGTCCTGGTGCTGGGAACTTCAAAGATATCGTATGACTCCCTCTTTTCATAGATCCCACTGCGATAGTCAAAAAGAACGAGATTGATTCCGCGTCTGCTCAAACTGTATTGGTGTCCGTTAACCTGCAAATGACCTCGGCTAAGCTGACAGTCGGTGCTTGAAATATCACTGCAACTTTCTGATAGGATCTTCACTTTCAGAATGTCTAAAAGATAGATTCAATTAACCTTAAACCGAAATGTTGAGATGCATTTCTGCACAGCCACCACAATGATGATATTTTTGCTGATATGAAACTTAGGCTGCGTTTACACGATGCCGGATAACTTTTGATGCGGATAGAAAGTTATACGGATAGGCTTTCCGTTTACACGAGTACTGGGCTATCCGTATCAAAATTGATTCGGTAAGCCGTACAACTTTTGATCTATCTAGCTAGATGATCTCAAACTTATCTGGCATCGTGTAGACGGGCTATTCGGATAAGTTTTGTTACGGATTCATAGCGAGGCGATGATTTTGACACAACTAAGCTAAAATTTTAGCGCCAAGCTTCGCTATTCCTAACAGAGCTCACATCACTCAGTGGCATATTATTATTTTCAGTTGTTGATCAGAGCACTTCAAGGATCCAGCACATCAGAAGAATTCTTAAAAAAGTATCTAGGAAGAAAAGTGTGCGTAAATTTTGGCAAAGTTCTGGCAGAACAAAAACTTGATGTGAACATTTAATAATGATATTGTACCAGAAGTTAAGGGAATGTTTTATTAATACAAAGAGAGTTTAATTTGTCTTGAACTGAAGCCATTCGTTGTGTCAGATCTGCTGTATCCGTACTCATTATCCGTACTCGTGTAAAAGGGAAGTCTATCCGTATCGAGCGTTGTATGTTTAAATGAGGGCTCTAGTGCACAGGTCCAATTTCTTATTTGTTTTTTTCTACCTAGCATCCCAAGGTAGTTTTTAGGACACTGGGAAGCTTATGCTTATCGAGCAATGTCCTGATCTTTCCTCTCGATGTGATCACACCTCGTGATTCCTACGCCTGGAATTACAGAGAGCTGGCGACTCTCCTCACTCTGGGTGAAAGTTTGGTCATGCCAGGGACTCGAACCACGGACCCTTGGGTCTTTTGTCAGCGCCATTAACAACTGAGCCACTTTTCAATGACAAAGCGTGAGTATGATTCGCGCGAAACAGTCAATTTTCTGTCTAATTCAAACTGATTTCATTTGAACTTAAACCAATTTGAACAAATTATCAGGGCTCCTTGACCCTATCTTGATCGAGGGGGCTGAAAAAGCTCCCCGCTTATGTTCCTTTAGAAAAGTGCAAACATCCGAGCATATGATCAGAGCAGCTCTGACAGAGCTAGACTTGAAAGCTCATGACTTTTCCCAAAAATTGACTGCTGAGATCATGATGCGATTCTTAAAATAATTAATTGTTGACGATTGCCATAACAACTAGCTTTTAACAAAGTACTTTAACAAGTATATAATGCTCTTTATTTACCTTGTCAAAATTAATTACTATATTAAACTTTTTTAAATATTTTGCACATCATTGAACACATTTTGCTGAAATGAAAAGAATTCACATCTATGTCAGCTAAATTTGCTGTTCTTGTTCAATTAAAATGTTTGTTTTCATTCATCCGTTTTTTAGTAGAATTATGTTTTCATTCATCCGTTTGACAGATATGTCATGTAGCTAAAATTTGACCATTGGAACAATTTTCATCATGAAAATGAATGTTTTACTGCGCATGAGTAGATGCTTTTGTTGTTAATAACATGACATCATACTTGATGAAAGGCAGTATTTGTATTTGAATAACTTATCAAAAAGCTACATTTTACTAAGTTTCATTAAACTTGCATCCGGAGAAATTGTTTTTCTACAGAAATAAGAGTTGTTGATGACTTCATCATTGAATTGATTGACATGAAATTGTCCGGATCTTCATTTTATAAGAAGGACAAAGCCGTGCTCAAGCCTAGCGTTTACCAATTAGGAGAAATGAGTCCCCTTCTTGTCTGAGGATCCTCAGAAAAGCTTCGCTAGCAAACCTTTAAAACACCTCAATGATTCCAATTTTTTGTAATTCAAACAATTTTGTCCGTCCTCTCAAGAATAAGCAATTCTATATCTGCCATCTAGATTCTAGATTCAATTCTAGATTCTATATCAATTCTATATATTTTATGAAATAGTTCAATTTTTTTCATTAAGCCCTTTTAATGTTAGTTGACGTTATTGCAATTGGCGGATGTTATCTAAGTCATTTTCCTCCATTTTTGTTGGGGAGATGAGACGACTAAGTTGCAGTAATATGTCCTGTCCCATAACGATTTCTGTAGCTAAGAATTGGTGAAACATCATTGTATATTTTATATTGCAGTTTTACTTAAAGGCAAAATTAATTGATAACATGTGTTTTCCTTTATTTACAATTGATGTGCAAGGTGCGATGATACCGATAAAAGCTTCTTGTCCCCTTTGGCGTTATTTCGCAATTATACATTTGGGGGGCTTATTCGAGAGGGGGCTTTTTAGCAGCTGCCAAAATGTACCTAGGGAAAATTTTCTCCCTCTTTTGAGGCTAGTCAGTATGCTGAAAAATGCAAATATATTGGAATAAACCTATTACTATCGGGGAAATACTTCTGCCCATGGGAGTTTACTTGAGGGTGAGGGCTTATTTCACAAAATTACTTAGGGTAGGGACTTATTAGAGGAGAGGGGGCTTCTTCAAAGGAGAGGTTATCCAGGATTTACGGTAACTTTAATAAGCTATATTTTGATTTGGTTCCTTTTTCTTAGGGTTGATATTAAAGGTTGTTTTGTACTTATCCGCTAATTTGAGGCCAACGACAAAGGGGAAAATGAAGATGCAATGGAAAAAGGTACCCCTGAAGGTTAACGTAACTAGCAGAACCACCACAGAATGTCAAGGTATTTGCAAACAATTTTATAGGTGAATTCTTGCCCTATGTCACGCCCACGCATCAATGGAAAAGTAGTTTGGGTTCCTTAAAATCTGTTTCACACCCAAAGACAACATGGACCAGTGTTTAGAAAAACGTAATAAAAGTCTAGCTAGGTCTCCATCTATCAAGGTTCTTTAGGGCAGCCAGGCACTGTTCTCAAAAAAGACTGGAGCGAACAATTTATTGCTCTCCTACATCAGCACGATGAAGCTGATTGAGTCTCTCCATCTTGAGACCTCTCGCGCCTATAGCTTCGGGAAGCCATTTGTTGAAACGGCGCACACACAGTGCTGCGCCTTAAATTGTACATTTATCATGAAATTTTTAAATATTCTAAGATACAACAGGCCTAAAAAAATAAGTGAACAGTGGATTCTTCGTTGCATAATACCATGGCAAAAATGTCTAACGTCACTCACTAAAAGCAAATTGAACTGAAACCAACATGATTGCTCTCTTGTCTCATACAACACGGCGAGGTCTCAAGATGGACGCTGCAATGTGGAATCAACGCTGGGCAGGAGAAGCTCGATCCAGTCTTTTTTTAGATCAGTGCTGCCAGGTAGCTATTTAAATATTTACAATTGTGAAACGGGAAATATTACTTGGGAAACTGTTTTGCACTTTAGACCCTCTTCTCTTATGTATAGGAAAACAACAGCATGTGTTGTCAGTTGGCTTTTAAGGGCTTTTAATGTTTCGTTTTAACAGCTTTGAGGAATTCCTTGCTGTTTACACAATCTGAATGTTTGAGCCGTTCTTTTGTCTACCATCGCCAATTGCAAATCACAGGTACGTAGCTACTTAAGGAAACAAGGAAACAATGCATCTATGATATATTAAAATGCCCCCACTATTTGATTGATCTTTGACTCAATCAACTGGACAGTTTGCTTTAAATATCTCAGCTGTGTTCTTCTCCATTTTAAAAACTTTATCATTCCTTTTTCTACAACCCTTCTTACCCCTTCTTTTTGGCAGCAATATTGGTGATTAAGTGCTTTGTCATTTTCAAAAAGAATTTAACTTTAATGAAGAGAACCAGAGTAAACACATTTAAAAATTCAATTTGAAGTAAATGCTTTGTTGACAAACTTTTGAATAAGCCCTACCATTTATGCATATTTCGTCCATTTGACATCCTATGCAATTTTATTCTAGCATTGCAGTTTCAAAAATTTTCATCAAAAAGGGGCCAAAATAGATAATTTGCTGTACGATAAGGACAATTATGAGCATTGATGAAATTGGATGCAATTGTTCAAAAAGAAAATGCTTCCATGCTGGAATTTTTTTACAGATACATTTAATTTTTTTGACATAAAATGAGTTTAAGCATAAATTACAGCCCTGTCTATATTTTTGCATTGAATAATGTTGCGAGCGGCCTCATGCTTCCAGCACTTGCAACGGGCAGCCACTCTTCTTTTTTTAAGTTTGTACCACACTCATGTGCGTTTTAGTTAGGACAGTCTGTCTTCTTGGTGTTCGAACCCCCTTCAAAAAGATTGCAGAGTCTCCATCCTAGCGTGCCAATTTTTACGTTTTTTATTCCAGAATAGGAGTTTGTTTGAGATACAGTAGAAGGATACAACATTTTGATCTGTGATCGAAGAAATATACGATACAGGCCCGAAATACTGCCAAAAACAATGAGCATGACTGAATATTTTTGGGCTAAAATATATTTGCATGCTTAGATTAACTTTGTTTTAATATTTCAGAAAATGAAATTGCAAATGAACTGAACATACCAATCACGTAAGAGCTGTTTTGTATGATTTATTGGCAGGACATTTTTCAACCATTTTTGAATGGTGTGGCATTTTTCAAAAGGGCCAATGCTCTGCTCAAATTGTACGGGGTTAATATCCAGGTGCTTCAGATTGTAATATACCCTGCTAATACTAAAGTCCCAGTTGGATGCAAGGGCTAGATGGGTTGTTTCACAATCTTATCACATATAGGACATTTGCTAAGAGATGTTAGCTATGGAGCATAGAATGCTGATTTCAAATCTTTCCCTTATTTGCTATTTATTACATTTAGCAAAATACCCATGATACTGTGCTGTTTCCATACTAACGTTCTTAGGATTGGGTCTTCAGGCTTCAAGATTTCACAATAATTACGTTTCTTTAAGAGTTTCTAGCATATTTTTTAAAAACAATACTGGAACCTTTTTGTGAAATGTTTTAGATCAGAAACCATACAAGTAAATATAATTTATTAAAAAACATCAGCGAAGAATCAGGATGTCTTCCAAACTTAGGACAAAGCTTGTTCCACAGTTGCTCTTACAGCAGTGGAACCATTTCACCGAAACACCGTGATCATAAAAAAGAGAATATTTTGTTTTATACGGACCATAGTGGCCTGGCATCTGGGGTAAATGGAGCATTTTGCTCCATATTTGTCTGGAAACTCGTAGGGGCCGGTGGAACTTGTGCCTACATGTAAATGAGGATTTTTTCACCAAAGATTTCATTCACATAAAATATTTCCTTGGTTTTACAATCACTTGAAAGAGGCCCATCGGGAAATCTTTCGATGTCTCGCCTAGCCCCAACGCCCCTGCCAATGTAATCATACAATACTTCTTTTCAACAAGAACACGGATTTCTAATGGAGACAGTGTGCTGAAAGACGCGGAAGGTTTATTCAAAATATTTATCTTGAAGAAATAGAGTACCGAAGTGATGACGTCATAAAAATCTATTTTTAGAATTTATAAATTTTGATACCAGAACCTGAAAGAGCATCATGAAATACCTATAAATATGCAAAATCAGTTAAAGGCATTACGAATTGGCTGAGATATGGCCACTTGAGCACAAGCTCATGCCCCATCAAACCTCTGTAATTTGATATTGGTAATTTTGCATATCTAGCTAATTTTGCATATTGAGAGGTATTTTATGATGTTCTTTCAGGTTGTGTGGCCAAATTTAAGAAATTATAAAAATAGATTTTTGATGACGTCACACTTTGGTACTCTAATGCCACTCAAGGTTGTACTGACTGGGGGAATCAAAATATAAGATAAATAGAGTATCGAAGTGATGACGTTAAAAATCTATTTTTAGAAAAATCTAAATTTGACAATGTATCACAAAAGAGCATTGTCAAATACCTCTATGAAAGCGCAAAGTTAAATGTTTTACAAATTGACTGAGGTATGGCCACATAAGCAGAGGATCTTTCCCCATCAAACTAATTTGGTCTTGGTTCAAAACTTTTTGAACCAGGCCGGAATAACAGTAATCCGTTAGCAAACTTTAAATCTTTCATCGGCAATAACTCGCCCAACTTTGAAAATTTTTACCTGATTTTATATGTTGATAGGTATTTCATCTAGAGACCGCTCTTTCAGATTAGATTGTAATTTAGAAACTCTAAAAATATATTTTGGAGACGTCGCACTTCGGCACTTCGGTATTATCAAGATATTGAGCAACCTATTTTTAGAGAAGTCCGCATTTTTGAAATGCCAAAAAACCTTGGAAAGAACATACGTTTATTACAAGCCGAGAGGGCGTGGGCTAAGAAAGCTTAGTGCCCCAATGATTGCCAAAACGTGCTTAGAATACAACAAATCATTCCGCGCTCTGCTAATAGCAAATGGAGTCCCTCAAAAAGTAGATTCCTTTACTTCTTCTTCAAAACCCCTTTGCGCTGCTCTGGAGCCCTGGGTAAACGTTCGCCTGCATTCTTTGAAAAGATTTCTGTGTGAAATTGGTTTTGCTAAGTTTTTTCAAATAGGGTACCATTGTAAAATTGCTTTATGTAAATATTGTGTACATTGCTAGAGTTTAAATAATGAAGGCTGAGGTGAATACATGTGTAACAAATTCTTGCAAATATGATAACTGCAATTTTGTTAGAGAGACCTTTTTTCAAAATTTCGTAGCATATGCACACGCGCAGTTAATGTCGTAGTATTATGTGGTAGGAAAATTCGTGTCACTTATGGGGATTAGCCTGAATTAGATTAAAAGATGGAGAAAATTTAGAGGAAAGGGTGACACGACAAGAGTGAGAACGAAACTCTGGTTTATATATGCAACTATGATATATTGATATATATATTGATAGATATATATATATATATATATTCTGAAGAAGCATATTGCGAAACGTTAATCAAGTTGTTTTTTTTACTGATCTTCTATTTAAATTTTTATAAAACATTACAGTCTAGAGCTTTTGAATACATAAATATAAATATATATAAATATATATATAAATATATTTATATAAGAATATATATAAATATATATATAAATAGAATATATATAAATATATATATATATATATATCAACAACATTGCAAATGTGACTATTTGTAGCTTAGAATACTTCAGAGCGATTGAGATGGGAATGAAATTATCATAGTTGCACTCAATAATTCGACACTGAATATATTCTGTTTTGCTTATAAAATGCTTGTTTTCTTTCAATTTTATTTGAAAAATTTAGCATAAAATAGTGTTATTGCATGCGAGGAGAAACATTTAACATTTGAGGGAGATCAAAGAACATCCCTGTTTATGAACCACGGAAGTCTAGGCTCGGTAAAGTTTCTTTGGTCTTTTGTGGTGAAGGGCTCGAACCTGCACCTGTTCACTAACAATGGCGAATATCATCAGTTGTGGTTTTAGGGTCTGCGGGGCCCGGGGCCAAAAACATCTGCGGGGCCCTTGTTCTTTACAATTTCTATCTTTTTTCTTAGGTGTGGGGGCCTTTTGGCTACCATGAGCGCGGGGCCTGGGGCCATGGCTCCCTTAAAACCGCCACTGAATGTCATCGGTGACCCAGTTTAAACTAAAGGAAAAAGGAATAGAACTCCTTGGTTCCGTTATTGAACAGGAATTTGCTCGATAAGCACAGCTTCTCAATTTCCTAAAAGCTTCATCGGGAAGCTATAAAGATACATTTCATGTATTTTCAAAGATTTCAATGATGAAATCTTACTTTTTGGAAAACATTTTTAGTCTTTTAAAACAAAAGCTGTCAGTATTCAGCAAAGTCACTTTAAGCTATAGTTTAATATCTTCTGAAGAAATTTGAAAACAGATAGCCTGCGTGCAGCCTCTACCTCTTTGTCAGGAGCGTAGAGGCTGCAAGCAGGCTGGAAAGCAGATGTGTTATGAAAGGCTAAACAAATTAAACGACAAACTGTTTCATTAGGTCAGTTATAAGAGTATCAGGCGCAAAAACGAGCTACGCCTTTTAAGAAAAGGGACTTTGAAAAGGCCAACAAGACGTTATTGTTTAGTTAGCTTCAAAGGTGATTGATTTAGCATAAATAGAAACAAATCAGGAGCTCCTTCCTGCATCTTCCAAGCTACCTCATTATTTAGGACCAGAGTATCATCTGAAAAGACTGAATATGGCAGAATCAGGCAATACGGAAGCTATTCAGATAAAATTAAGTTTTTTCGTAGCAGTCTACAAGTCATGATATTGCATTTCATTACAAATTCACTTCTCGATAAAAGCAAGAAGTAGTTTAAGTTTAGTTAAATTTTGTAATTTATTTGGATGGAGTCTTGTAGGCTGAGTTTACAAAAAAGTATACAAATCGTGTTTTCTTGAACTGTTTCTGGTGAAACCAAGGGAGGGGATGCATTTCTACGATCAGACCCTTCATTATTCAATCACGTGGTTTTGCATGAAATGCTCAGAAAGTACAACTTTGTGCATGCAGTTAAGCTAGTTGAAAGGAATGATATTAATGGTTTACTCTTGTCAAAACATGTTGTCAGCAACGTCTAGTGCGAGAGCATGGACGCAAAATTACAGCCCTTCAGTTCCGATACTGGACTCCTTACCCACAAAGCTTCAACAGCACGCAAGATATTCACGGTCCGGTATCCCGGTAAACTCTACGACTTGGTTACATGGTATCATGATGAAGAAATATAAAAATTTAGAAAATACCTGAATCATCGTAGAAATAGAACCTCAGACGATCTTCATCGCTACAGCCATCATCGTATAAAACAAGCGAATTGCCTACTGGTGGATCGATCAATCCATTGTATGGATGCACACATCGGGTTTCTCCATGCTTTAGAAGTGAGTTGTTAAGAGGTTTGTATATTGTCTCTGTTAAAGCACAATTGGCAGTCAATCTTATGTGGTAAGCTGAGAAAATGACACATTTACCAGTTTGAACATGCCTCAGGCGGAAATCATTTATGTACTCGAAACGATCGCAGGCAAGTGGATTGCTTAGTCTGATCAAATTTTTACTCGCTTGGTAGATCCAACATAGTCCACCAAAATGCCGGATGATATAGTGAGCATTCCTTCTGAAGAAGTATCGACTGGTGTTCCCGTTACAGCCTGTTTTTAGAATAACTGCTGTCGTTGCCACAGGATCAACGACTCCGCTTTCTGGATGTAGGCATTTGCTTGACAACAGGTGTCTAAGCACACCAGTACCTTGGTCATACTTGAACAGACTGTCAGTGTTACTGCAATTGCTGGATAGAGACAGAAAGCTGCCATCGGTTGTTGAATTGACAGAAAGGCAGTTCCTTGTTGGAATGTGGATGATTTTTCCCCCTCCTTGCCATTCAAACTTTTCACGGCACACCAACCCGTAAATAAACACTTGACGTACCACATCATACTCGAGACACTTTCCGTGATAGTGACGTATATAATAAGTCTTTGATTCTTTCAATCCTTGACTTGCCACAACATGAAACTGCATTAGGCACGCAAGTAACACGAACAGTGGAATCGAGCAAAAATAAAGAGGTTTTGCCATTTTCAGACTTGGATAGCAGTTGTGTTGTTACTGAAAGCATACGGAGGACTGGCGATAGGAGAGAAACATTTTCTAAATATTTTTCATACTGATGAATAATTCAAAGCCAAAGTAGCAGGTGACATGCATTTTGAAAATATTCATTTAGATTTGATGGATTGAAACAATTAATTCGATTTTCACTGATTTATATTCATTGCTGTTGCTACCCTAGATAACGTCATAGCATTCAGACAAGGCTGTGTCACGGGGGTATTGCGGGGGCAAGGGCATGGGAAAACTGACCTTTCATTTTGTCTTAATTCGATGATGAAATGCTCGGGAAGATGATATTTTGGCAAATTGTTCTTTTGATATGGTTCTTTGATTTTTAAACTTACTTAACATAACCAAATGTCAGCCAGTCGTTACCTGTTGGTAAAAGAGTATTTTCCGACAGATAAAACGTGGCGGCCTTTTAAAAGGCTTTTCATTTTGTCCCCGACAACCGAGTGGCTTGCGCCGACATTGCTTTCAAGCCACCACCCTTGATATCACCAGAAAAGGGTTGCGTACTGTTAAGAAGGACACTTGGTTTCGCCCTTGATCTCGAGTCTATAGCAATGTCTTTATGTTGTTTGTTAAAGAATTAGCAAACCTAAAAGGATCTATTTTTGGGGAGACAAACACGAATAAGGCAACCCTTCTATCCTAGAGGCAAAGAGCCTGCGCATAGAACGAGGTCATTGTTATGAATGCTCTTGCTTTCTAGGAGGAGCGTTTGTGTTGTGTTGTTTGTTGTTTTATATATTGTTTTAGTTTTGTTGTTGTTTCGTGCCTTTAATGTAGATTCGCTTGGCGTGAGTCTAGGAACGAGAAAGGGAGTTTTTAGAAATTGGATTTTGGATAGTTGGATTTTAGATGAAGCTGAATTGTCGTGGATTGAGAATTTCCGATATTGTAGAACTCAATTCGTTATGACCCTATTTCACTAACTCGCTGATTTGTAAATATTGTAAATATCACTATTACCTCGCCGTTTTTCTACTTGTCGCCTGTTCGCCATCTCATTTCACGGACCAGTATCAATTACCATTACGCTATAGGACAGGATTAATTTGCCTCATTCATTTGAAGTGCTTCGCTTGCTCATCTCCCAGAGATTCATGGCATCAGTCTTCAATCATATCATAGTTAGCTTGTGTTAATTGCTTTATTTACTTTATTTATTCATTTATCTATAAGCAGATTCTATTTCATTCTGACTGAAAAGGTATGCATCTAAATACCTTTTTTGTACCACAAAATTTAAAGATTGCAGAAAATAGCGGGAATATAGCTAACTTCAATTTTTTTTAAAGTAATTATTAGATATTCTGTCTGATGAGTGCGCAAATATGAAACTCCTTGTAACAGCAGACATGTGTTTTCTCAGCCATGCTTCTATTGTATCGAATTCACTGCACTCCTGTACTGCCATGTCAGAATAGAGAACGCATACTTCTGTTTCCTCTTCCCCCTTTCTCTGTGAGGAAATGGCTTGAATTGACCTCTTCTGGTGACAGGTGGTGATTAGAGTGGCATTACACGCGCCTGCAGTATTCACTCCCAGAATCAATAATGGCAGCACAAAATACAACATAATTAAAGAATTTAATTAAAAGCTTGGTTCCTCATGAACAAGTGCGTGTGCTCTTTTTGCAGTAAGTAATCTGTTTAAAATCCTTAAATTGCTTTATGTTTGTCTTAGTTAGTGTAGGTTTACTATTGTAAAAAAAACATAAAATAATCTATACAATACAATACAATGTGTAGACAAAAGGAGCTAGTACTCAAACACAGCTTCACCATGGGCTCCGACAAAGGTTGAAAAGTGAGGGGCCAAGGGAAAATTTAACACCCATAAAATAGATTTTGAAAAAAACTCTATTGTTTTGCTAAAAGGCCCTTCGTCGGAGGCCCTGTTCACTGGAAACATTTTCAACAGGCAAACTGCATTGATTGGGCAACCTCAACAGTCATGTGATCGCGTTTCTGATTGGCTTATTTCGATATACAACTGGGTATCCAATTTTCTAGCGTAGAGTTTTCGACCTATGTTCTGATGTTTTGAACTTTGAAGAGTGTCACAAAACCTAACGTACATTTCAAATGTTGCTTTTTTCAAAGACATTTTAAATTCTGTACCGACAAAAATTGATAGAAAATAGCTATCAAAAACAACTATGACACTGGAGCAAAGATTTACATCTTTGCCCCCTATGCAAGCGCTCGCTTTGTTATTTGACCGCTGCCGGGGGCAACCGTTTTTCCAGTGGCAACAGCTGGTGGCATTTGCATGCGGCAAAACCCTCAAAGCTCAGCTGGTGCTTGACAATTTGTTGAAGCATCAAATAACATAATAGGTTGAAACAGTTGATTGAATGTCACATGTTAATATCATTATTCCAGAGGTTTACATTCACATAATTATGAATCTTTGATTTCAAAAAACATGGAAACCCGTATAAGTGTATATACATGCAAAATGTTGATATGGTTTGACCCGGGCTTCATACCAGTAGGAAAGCTTTGCTGAATAACACTCAGCATATGCTAACTTGCTGAGCAAGGTTGAATGGCCATTACATTTTCTGAAATAAATGCTAAGCAAATTTCACTGAACATGGAAATTGTTACAGCGTTTGAATTCAATGTTGACGTTGTTTATTTCAACAACACCACGCTAATGCAAGTTGTTTTCTATACACCACCCTTATTGAATAAACAACAAAAATTCCTTCAGAGGGATGATGAAAATTTGCCTGATACAAAACTTTCAACCACTTATAACTTGAAACACACTTCTAAACCCCTTACCCCTTTACTTCTAATTTGTTTCTTATTTCCAAATTTATATTGATTTCTTATGGCCTTTTTAACATTTCTTTCATCAATTTTAACTTTCTTTTATCAATGTTAGAGTCATAGAACACTCTGATACGATGGCCCACAAGGGACATGCAGCATGTACTAAGTTTTGCACGCACACAAAAACAAAGGCGGTTGCAAAATGAAATCACATGCACAAATTCATTTACATAATCACAGAATATAACTGCAGCACTGTAAGTAAATGTTGCAGCATAAACTAAGTCTGACCTGCAGCATACACTAAGTTTGACCTGCAGCATACACTAAGTTTGACCTGCAGCATACACAAAATCTGACCTGCAGCATATAGACAGGACATATAGCCTGACAATCTGACATTCAAGCTAATGTTTGCTTTCACAACGGATTCTTGTAGTAGGGAGTCTAGGCTTTCATAATCTGCCAGGTGACTTTTGTGAAAATGCCTGGGTGTCACGTGACTGATGGCATCATTTAACGGTAAAAAATCAGACAAAATCATCGCTAACTCTTTACTGGAGTGTTATTTTTTGACGCAAATTACATATTTTGACTCATCTCGTTGCAAGCTTTTAATGAATGTATATTTAAGAATGATTTGCCGCCATCAGTATTTCATTATGACGTCATCAAAAATTGTGCATGACGTCATCAAAGATTTTATTGTCATTAAATGATAAGTTGGCCAAACTTTGTATTAATATGAGGCTGGATGTCAGCAAAACCATTTCCTCCATATTTTTTCAATCAAATAATTAGTATTTAGATCATTTAAATTACGTTTGTGCGAACTGCAGTAGCCAAAGTTCGAATAAGGTAGTGCTATCTGTCGATGCAGTCACTTCTTCCTTCGTAGTTGCAAAGTCTTGCTCCCACTCTGAACCGGACAATAAGTTCTTTGCATCTGCATTTGACTGTTGCACTAAGTCGCGAGAATGTCTTGGAACTATAGGCTATCCAAGATGCCCTCGCGCTGGGCTTAAGGTACATGACTTTTTTCAATAAGACTATATTCCGCTGCGAAATATGACCATCTCATCAATACAATCTGGCGTTTTCTGGTGGTAGATTTACATATGGATTTGACTCCTTGAACATGAAATTAAGAGGAACAACTTCATTTCCTCGTCACAGTACACCGTCAGGAGTTGCAAGACTAGAGCTATGGTTTTGATGAGATGTGCAAATGCCTTTTCGATAAAGACAGCCTTGCCAGTCTCGAAACCTTGGTGGTCTTCGTTCATTATTGAGACTGCTTTCGATGTTTTCTTGGATTTTTGTGCGCACAACAAAGTAGAGGTGAGTCATCAAGGCAAGTGCGTAAAAAAGGTTTAAAGCAAAAGATACTCCAAGATAAAAAGAGTTTTTTACAATGATGCAAACAAAGAGAATCTAATAAAACTTACTCCAAAATTATTTCGAAGCGCTGAGGCTCAAGGGGGTTCCAGACAATTCCATTGGTTATAACTTACGGAGAAGAAGCATGGGAGACTTCAAAAAGCAAATAGAAGTCCTTCCAAGATGTAACCACAAAAAGGCTGAAACCAGAATGATTTTGCATGCTAACTCGCAAGATGCAAAATAGTTCTTGTTGCAAAGGATACTGATGTATTTCTGCTGCTTGTTCATGCAATGCAGAAGTGCAAACCCACAAATGAGTGGTTTATGGCATAAACAACAAACAAACCGTCGAGATTTGAGGCATCGTTCAAACGTTTGGTTCAAAAATTTGCTGTGTTCTCCCACAGATCCATGGAATTATGGGCTGAGACTCTCAGAAAGAGTTATCGCAGATGTAAAGACATTCGCGAAACTGTAGAACATAGTGGAACACTACATTAAAGCCGCTTAGAGACAAGGAATCGTATTTATAAATTCTGAAAACAAAATCATCTGCAGCAGTTCCACAATCATTCAATCAGAGACGAATTAAATTGTGTCAACTTAACAAGGTTATTTTGGCTACAGTGTTTGGATGCAATTACTACAAGGCATGTTCCAAAAGCCAAAAGCCTGCAGTTAAAATTTGGACGACATACTTGATCGTTTAAAGTATAAATGGTCCACAAGAAAACAGCTTCCCCACCTTAAAAGAAGTCAAAAAGATATCCAAGTTGTGAAAAGAAAGC